TTTCCCCCCCCCGCTGCCGCTGCCACTGGCTTCTATGGGTGCTTGTCGCTCGCTATGCTGCTGCCTCTGGCTTCTGTAGGCAGTTGCCGCTCGTTGCCCCAGCGATGCTGCCACCACCAGCTTCTGCAGGCGGTCGCTGCTTGTCGCTACTGCCGATGCTGCTGCCCACAAATTGCGCGCCTCCCGCCCCCCAGTCTCAGGAGGCACCAGTCACCCATGCTTGAAGGGACTTGAAATGGTGTAAAACCAGGGATGCTCAACCTCTGGCCTACAGGTCACATGTGGCTAATTGAGCCATAGCTTCCAGCCTATCTGGTTTCCCCCAGTTTGGGAAATTTGGCAGGGAGGGAGCAGTGGCAAGTAATACTGCCACCCTCCTTTGCTACAAAATTCCCAAGCCAGAATGGTGGGTTGGAGCGGGACCGTGGCCCCTTCCCCACACTTGGCCAGGTTAGAGCTGGACTGTGACACTTTCCCTCTGCACAGCTAGGTTGGGGTGGGCCATGCCCCCTTCTTCCTGTGAGGCTGAGCCAAGCCTCCTTCTCATGTGTGGTTGGATCATAGCCAGACCACTCCCCAAGCCCTCCACATGGTGGGATTGGGCCCTGTCACACTCACTCTAGGTGCCATATCACGACCACTTGTCAGATCTGGTCTGTGAACAGATCAGGCACCATCCATTTAGCCCACTGGGCAAAAAAGTAGAGCCCCACTTGTGTAAAACAATAATATCTGACTTAGGGAGAGGCAGACAGAGACAGAACATCTGAAACTGACTGTGACTAACAGAGGCCTGCTTGGGGTGGGAGCCTTAATAGTAGGGTATAAATTGACTAGAAACTAATACAGTTTCTAGATCTTGTATTCAACTCATTGCCACAAGTGGCAACATTGTGTTTCAGGTAGAGGTGGTCTACCCATGTCAGAAAAGTCATGTTGCCAATTTGGCAAGTAATGCGTGTAGCTGCCATATTGGAATCCAAGATGGCTACTGTGAATTCACATTTGGGTCAGTTTTTCAGCCCCCACTAGGGTTAGAAAATTAATTCCAATAACAAAACCAACATTGTATGAACCAAGGAGATCAATTAACATTTCTGTCATGGTAGCCAGATTGAATTCCAAGATGGCTGACACATTAGCATGTGTGTATTGACTCAATGTAATTAAAAAACCTAGTAAACAATATCCTAGTACTAAACTGTTACAAATTCTATACTACAAATTTCATATCAGGTCTACAGTAGTGAAAACATTATAACTCAGGCTAGCCTACTTATTTGAGTTACATTGAATAAGACCATACAAATTTTCTTTTCTTTTAGAATGTGGATAAGTCAGATACTCAAAATATATAACTCAATGGCAACAAAACACACTGACATATGTTTGGCTTGAGGCAATAGGAAAATGTAATAGTCAAATCTAATGGTAATACAGTATAACAGTATATATAACATCAATACAATGGGTAATTGCAGTTTTTCAGATCTTTTCATCATTTGAATCTGCTTCTGAATCTCTATAGTTATAATATGGATTGCAACATGCTGTCTCATAGCATGTTGTAATTTGTATAATAACTACACGGATTCAGAAGCAGATTCTGTCTAAAACAGCACTCGCAGCTGGGAGTGCATGGCACATTAACACGCTGGCATGAGCATACTGGTCCCTGTCATTCCATCTTGTACTTGCAACTTGCTATTCATGCTGGTAATGGTTCAAGCGTATTTATGATATGAACATAACCATCATTTTCAGCTTGCCAACCACACTGGTCAGGTGATGACAATGGTGGATTAGGTTCAATCGCACCACACCAAACAAGACTTTGATAATTGGCTTTATATATATGGTGCGCAAGGGAGCTGTATATAGGTGGATATTTATCTAGAGCTTTTCCTTGATGGAATAATTTGACTCTAATGTCCATAAGGGTCATCAAAGATATTGACGGCTGATACAACAACGCAACAAACTTTTCTACACAACTGTACAAATCCTTATCAACATCAGGCCTACTTCCTAGACCTGCTAATAGATGTAGATGTTGAATGAACACTTTGCAAGCAGTTTTCTCAGCATGACCACTGAACTTACTGATGGTGTCACAACCAGTCACACTGTGGAATGCAATTAGAGATAACAGATGGGCTCAGGCAATTCTGACACATTACCATGAACTGGAATGAATCTTAATTGAGTAACTTCCCTTCATCCAAACCTTAGGTGTGAGATTATGCCGTAGAAGAAGGACCAGTATGTCTGTCATCACAGGAGAATTCTAGAGAGCAGCATCTTTGACTGACTGCAGGTTTGCCATGTAAGAGCATTGTGCCTGCATCTTGTGCCTGCCTCTTCTTGCTGCAAATGCAGCTGCAAAACATCACATGGGCCAGAGTGCTCTGCTTTTCCATCATGAAAACCACCAACAATAAGCACTCATTCACTTTAGGAACGTTGGTATGATTCCTTAAGAAGCGTGTCACTGAACAAATAAACTAGGTTTTCTTTGTTTGCTGGTAAGGATATAAAATTACTCCACAAGGCTGGTAACAGAAGAGATCTGCTGCTAATGATTTTGCAGATTGGCCTAGTAGTTTAAGTCCTTAATATTCCTGTGCCTGCCCTTATGGGTGGTGATATGTGTCAATCAAAGGCAACATTGACTCAATTGCACAGGTTGGAATAGTTCATGAATGGTGTGTGCCCCTGGCGGCTGGGGGGGCACAGCTGTGCCGCCACCGGCGGAAGCATGGCGGTGGCGGCAGGAGCCCAGTGGTGGTGAGTGGGGTGCTCCTACAGACATCACTGGCACTGTCGGCAGGGGTGGTGGTGGCAAGCGCCAAACACAGGTCGGCGACCACCCATAGCCACCGCCAGCAGTGTTGGTGGCGGCCAGGGGTGATCAGGGACTGCCCACAGATGCCACTGGCATTGCTGGCAGCAAGGTGGTGAGCGGTGACCGCCTGCGGGCACTGCTGACAGTGTTGATGGCTCCTTTTTGCAGGGGGGCACTGCCATGCACAGGGGGCGCACATGCACCTGCGCACCCCCTAAGTGTCACCCCTGGCCATGTTGTCAACAGTAACAGCTGATTTCTAAGAAGTAGCATTGGGCAGAACAGTTACTGCTTTAACTTCTATCAAGGTCCATGACAAGGCTTCTTTTCTGGCCATGTTGAGTGATTTGTTGGGTTTAAAAAGTGATAGAGGGTATGCAGACAGTTTGTACTGTAGGAGACAGTGCATGTCGAACCTTCTATCTGCTGCAACTGCTGTGAGTAGCCTTTGCTGGATTTCCTTTGCGTTCTGCATCTGTTTCATTTTGATGTGCTGTCCCATAGTTGACTTGACTTCCTTGAAGGTTTTAAATTTTGATTGGGGTATGTTTACATAGAAGCTTTCAGTAGCATCTGTGATAAGACATTTCTGGATAATGGTTTTCACAATTTCTCTTCCTTTGTCACATGCATTCAGAAGGTCTACTGCAATATGTTCTGGCACAACATCTCCTGTAACAATAAATAACAGCTCATCATTGGAAACCTTAAACAAGTGGAACCTTTCAAACTGCTCTTGTAGCAACTTGACATTGTTGTAATCTCATTTCAGTCATGTCCTTTGCCTTTCATTATGATTGAAAGATGTACTGATCCCAAACATTTGATCTACCATTTTGGTTAGGTGACCTCTTTCATTGTAGTTCAATTCCCATCATTGTCTAGCTGATTTGTTGCATGTTATGTTTACTACGTCACTGGCAATTTTACAAACTTTGTTAACTCTATTGTCTAGTCAGTTGAAATGTTTACAAATGGGAGAGTAGTTATCTTGACCCCGAATCCTCCTTTCACAAACTCAGCATACACCAAAGGAGAAAAATTCGCTAAGTCCTTCATACATTCAAGATATACTGGACCCCATCTGTCACAGGCCAGCTGGGCACTGTGAGTATATCAGTTTAGTTGCAGACTGACCGAGCACTGCAACTTTATTAGCCACTGGGCTTTTTGGTTTGGGATCGAGGAGGGGATGGGGGGGAGGAAAGCAATGACAAGTTTTACTTATGAAAAAGAATGAATTTTACTTATAACAACAAAAAATATAGTTTGAACATATAACAGTTAGTAAAAAGGCTAAGCTGATAAATAGACAACATCATAATACATGTTAAAATTGGCAGTGATAATAAAACAAACAAAGAAAATTAACCAAGAATTCTCACTTGGTTAGTAACTTATCGATAGTCTCTCAGTTAGATACACGTCAAGTTGATTCAGCGAAGTTAGGCGTCTCTGATCCACGCTTTTGGAGGGAGAACCAGGGGAGGTGTCTCAGTCAGGATTTGGTTTTCGCTCTCACAGGGAGTAAGAGAGATCTGTGGGGGCATGGGACAGCAATGACCCCTCTGTTCCGTCCTTCCCTAGGGTTACTTAGCGTGCGTGTTCTTTTATTTCCTGTTTATGCTGATTTTTTGGTTATATAGCTATTTATAATCTTATTCTATAGCTGTTATCCTATGGGGTTAACAGGTGTTAGAAATTATTACAATAAGTTACTGCCCAAGCTTGGGTTTACTCAATAAGAAAATTACACCACATCACTTTGAGGTCTGAGATTAACATGCCTCCACCTAAGTTCAACCCACTATGTTAATTATACTTTGTGATTAGGTCTGTTAATTTTTACTGACTCTAAGTGAAAATTAATAAATCAGCTTGGTTTTCAGCTTTATTCTTCAGTTCAGCTTTATTCTTCTGCTTTCTAAGGCTTATGCTGTCTGAAGACTAATGTAAACAGCTATATGCATTCTTGTGGGTTATACTTCAGGCAGACGGGAAACAGTTTCATAGGCTGTACTTCAGATAC